TGGAGGTTGCAGTGAGCAGAGATCGTGCCACTGCACTCCAGCCTGGGCGACAGAGTGAGACTCTTGTCTCTTTTTTAAGAGTAAAAATGAACTCCTTTTTGTCTGTAGTATGAGGCTTCGCATGATCTGGGATCCTCTGTCCTTCTCCATCCCCATCTCTTGCCACTCTTGCTTATCCTCACTTTGTATGCTTCAAATATACAGAATTAACCCTAGTTAATTTTTTTTTTTTTTTTTTTTTGAGACGGAGTTCTGCTCTTGTTGCCCAGGCTGGTTTGCAATGGTGCAATCACTGCTCACTGCAACCTCCATCTCCCAGGTTCATGCATTTCTTCCCCTCAGCCTCCTGAGTAGCTGGGATTGCGGGCATGCGTCACCACTAATTTTTTTTTTTTTTTGTATTTTTAGTAGAGACAGAGTTTCTCTGTGTTGGTCAGGCTGGTCTTGAACTTCCGTCCTCAGGTGGTCCGCCTGCCTCGGCCTCCCAAAGTGCTGGGGTTACAGACGTGAGCCACTGCACCTGGCCGTTAATTATAACTCATGCTACTTTTCACTGTAATTCTTAGCATTATTATTATTATTATTTTAATTTTTTTTGAGACAGAGTCTTGCTCTATTGCCAGGTGCCAGGCTGGAGTGCAGTGGCGCGATCTCAGCTTACCGCCACCTCCACCTACCAAGTTCAAGCAATTCTCCTGCCTCAGCCTCCCAAATAGCTGGGATTACAGGCATGCGCCATCACACCCAGCTCCTTTTTGTATTTTTAGTAGAGATGGGGTTTCAACATGTTGGCCAGGCTGGTCTCAAACTTCTGACCTCGGGTGATCTGCCTGCCTCAGCCTCCCAAAGTGCTGGCGTGAGCCACCGTGCCTGGCCATTCTTAGCATTATTAAGTGAAGTTCACAGTCCCTCTTCTAGCAGATTTTCTCTTAAAATATGAACCTGAAGTTTCCTAGTAATTGAACTTGATGTCATCAATTGTATGAAAACTAAAACCATGAAGTGAAATAATAGAATTTGAATTATTTCAGTGAATATGTTTGTATTAATGGCACTTTAATATCTGGTACTTGGCTAAGTTTTATCAGGGATACAGAAGTTCTGGGTATCTCTTTTTTATATAGGCCTTATTTGATGATAATTTTGTGCTGTTTAGTTGCCATGTTTCCATTTTCATGATGGGGAACAGGAGAGAAAGACAGTATAGATGGTTACTTAGTGGGGTTGAATAAGTGGAGTGGTGAAATGCAAAGCAGAGAGAAGAGAGGACATGTCATGTGGGCTGTGATTCCCATTTTCAAGAAATCTTATTCTGTGCAAGGAGACAAAGCTAACATACAATTTGGCTAACAAAAAATGTATGTAATAGGTGGAAAGACTATCCCCCAGTTGGCCAGCGGATGCCTGGGACTCATTTTATTGCTTTCAAAGTTCCTTTGCAATAGATAAGCAAAAGTTAATTCAGTATTCTTTCAGACATCTAAATTCACCATGCAGAACACTGTTCTCAGCTCTATCACATTCCATTTTCTCTTTTTTTAGCAAATACTTTGTAATGACCCCTTTACTATCCTGAAATGAAGTTCATAGGTACATACAACCTGCTTCAACATTTTAAAGAAAAATACCAGTTCACACCCTAACTATAATATAAAGAATAAAATAAAAGTAATTTATAATAAAGTAATACATATTTCAATATATAAATGTTTGGACATGACTGCATTAAAAGACATAGAATAATAGTTGCCTGTGCCATAAATTTGAGAACTACAAATGTAGACTGATCTAGGTGGCTGATACTGCCTTAGTGGTAGGACTTTCTAATATAGATTTCCAAACAAAACAAAGTATAGTCTTCATTTGGTTGATAAGGTGATTGCTATCCTGGAAAATTAAATATATATTAAAATTGTACAAAAATAATTTGTGATTATTTGTGAAATGGAGTGAGGTTCTAAGGCCAAGCTAAATATGAACAGCTTTTTATCTATATTAATGTTGAATAGGGCATTCAAAAGCCATTCAGCATGTGGGACACATTTGTAGGACTGTTCTGAATTTGGCAAGCTATCTAGAATTTGTAACCCTTACCACTGAATGTCAGTGGGCCTCTTTTCCTCCCATAGTCACAATAAAAAATATGCCCTGGATCATCAAGGTTAGGGTTTCAGTGTGGAAAATCTCAAGATTGTGTGTGTGTGTGTGTGTTTTGAACTAGGAAAGGAATAGGAGGGATAGGAGGGGACAGCTTTTGACAGCTGTAAGAAAGATGAGAAGGTGAAGACAAATATTGTTTTCTAGATTCTGTGTCTTATTAGACTTCCCCAGCATAGCTCAGCTTAGTATCAGGAGAAGCCCACTTGAAACGTTTTGGGAATTTACTTAATTTGTGACTCATAGATCAGATTTCCTTTTTCAACTGCTGTGTCAGCTTCTCTGCATGTCTGGGCTTAAAGTGAGTCATTTCAGGCCAGGCCCGGTGGATCACGTTTGTAATACCAGTACTTTGGGAGGCCAAGGTGGATGGATCGCTTGAGTCCAGGAGTTTTAGACCAGCCTGGGCAACATTGCGAAACCCTGATTACAAAAAATACAAAAATTAACTGGGCATGGTGGTGTGTGCTTGTGGTCTCTGCTGTTCGAGAGGCTGAGGTGGGAGGATCGATTGCGCCCAGGAGGTCAAGGCTGCAGTGGGCCATGATCATGCCCCTGCACTCCAGCCTGGGCCACAGAGTGAGACCTTGTCTCAAAAAAAAAAAAGGTGGTGTTGGAGGTACATGGAGTTTTTAAGGAGGTGAAACTATTCTGTGTAATACTATAAGGGTAGAAACATGTCATTATAGAGAGATCGAAACCCATAAAAGGGTTTCATATATGGTAACATATTTCATAACAATCCTGTGCTGATGAAGTAGCAGTAGTACTAATATATCTCTTCTTGAGTGCTTATTCTGCACTAGTTCAGAGGATACGTAGATGGTTACAACTAATAAATAATTTTATAGATAATGAAGCAGGCTCAGAAAAAAAGAGTCAAAACTTGAACTTAGTTCTTTCTTTTTTTTGTGGCAAAATATGCATAACATAATATGTACATATAATGCACAACACAGAATGAATCATGCATACCTACACTCTAGACTTTGGTGATAACGATGTGTCCAAGTTGGTTCTTCAGTTGTAACAAATGGACCACACTGGCATGGAATGTGGAAAGTGGGGGAGTCTGGGTGGGGTGGGAGAGGGAAAGTACATGTGAGAACTGTCGTTTTTGCTCAGTTTTGCTGTGAACCTGAAATTGCTCTGAAAACTAGTGTGTTTTTTAAAATGTACGTTGCTGGCACCTGAATAGCCAGACAGATTGATGGAACAGAGCACAAAGTTCAAAAATAAGCCAAATACGTAAAAGAACGTTTAGCAATGAAGGCCATCCTTCATATATGTAGACGTGTAAGAAATATTTATTTGTGAGGCTGAGACAGGATTGCTTGAGCTCAGGAGTTTGAGATGAGCCTGGGCAAAATGACAAGACACTATCTCATTGTTTTGTTTTGTTTTGTTTTGTTTTATTTTGAGACAGAATCTGTCTCTGTTGCTGAGCTGGAGTGCAGTGGCGCAATCTCAGCTCACTGCAACTTCCACCTCCCAGGTTCAAGCGATTCTCCTGCCTTAGCCTCCCGAGTAGCTGCAACTACATGCCACCACACAAGGCTAATTTTTTGTTTTTGTTTTTGTTTTTTCAGTAGACACAGGATTTTACCATGTTGGCCAGGATGGTCTTGATCTCTTGACCTTGTGTTCCACCCACCTTGGCCTCTGAAAGTGCTGGGATTACAGGCGTGAGCCACTATGCCCAGCCAACCCTATCTTTAAAAAAAAAAAAAAAAAATCCAGGTGTGGTGGTTCATGCCTGTAGTCTTAGCTACTTGGGAGACTGTGGTGGGAGGATTGCTTGAGCACAGAAGGTGGAGGCTACCGTGAGCCAAATTTGTGCCCTTGCACTCCAGCCTGGATGACACAGCCAACACCGTGTTTCAAAAAAAAAAGAAATATTGATAAGCGCCAAATATGATAGGCACTCCACTTGGAGCTGGAGATACAGTGGTGAATAAAATCTGGGAGTTTACAGGCTGATTAGGAGACTAACATAAAACAAATACAAAAATAAATATATCGAAGTGGGCTTATTTTTTTCTTTGTGATCCTTCTGGAAGAAAAGATTGTTATACTTTCTACATTCTAGGAGAATGGAAACTTTCCTTTGAATCTCATTGTTTGTTAGCATCACAGGACTTGAATAAATGCCTAATGTAATACAGAATTTTAAGCACATATTTGTTCTGATTTCATTCTCTCTGACAGAGTTTTGAGAAGAAACTTGCTCCAGAAGAATGCTTTTCCCCTTTGGATCTTTTTAACAAAATCTGAGAACAAAATGAAGAACGTGGACTGATTATTGATTTAACATATACTCAATGGTATTATAAACCAGAGGTAAGTGGAACCCTCAATAGAAAAGTTCTTTATTCTGATACAAAAATAATTTATAGTAATTCAGTAGTAATTCAGTAATCATCTTGTACTAATGTGAAGCCTGGCCTTCTTTGATGGGTAGTAAGGTTAAAAGAGAACCAAGTGATTTCCTTAGTTACATGTTTTTAATTACTGTCTAAAATGAAATTGGAGACATGAATTGAGCTAAAATATTTGGCAGTAGGCTGTATATGTGCCTAAGAAATTCTATAAATTTCTGTATTCTATATTTTGAAAATGAAGTAAACTTACTAATACTAGCAGTGGCCCAAGGAAAGAAAGGAATATCCAACATGTCTTAGCACTTATTTTATGCAGTTGCCTGAGCATGTATAAGCATCATGGTAGAAGGCAATTCTATAAGTTTATGATTTCTTTTCCCCGTATGTGTTGATACAATGCAGAGATTCATATGTTCTGTTTGCCCCATTTAACATGTTGGTGCGAAAGAGTGATCCTTCTTCTTTTTTTTTTTTTTTTTTTTTAAATCTACACAAAATTTTATTGCAATCATACAAGGGTTACATTAGGTCAAATACAACAAATACTATGATGCAATTTTACATTTATTAAACTACAGTTCAAAGCACAAATTTACACATTCTAAATACACTAAACGTTATCTAATGAAGTCACACTGGTCTTCTGCTAACATTTGATATATCTGGGTGAAAGACATGAACTTTACAAGACTTATAAACACAAATCCTTAGTATAAAAACTGTGTTCTTGTATGTAAACAGTTTAATGGGGAACCCAATTAATGGGCTTCCATCTCCACTAAGTCATCCATTTTGTTGCATATTTTATTTTAAACACTTAAGGGGTAGGACAAACTGGTAGGTTTAAATCTGGATACATTATCTAAATCTCCCATTATCCCCAATGAATTATAGATGGAAGCTGATTTGTCTGGTCCCAAATAGCTATTACTAATAGTTTTTGTTGCCAAATAATTAAGAGAATAAGATCATTTAAATTATTTTTCCACACTGGAATGTTGACCAGACAAGCTTAACCTGCAACTTCAGATCTAAAGAAGCGTTAATGCCTGCTTAAGCTTCAGTGGAAAAGCTTCTTCTTGGGTCAGCTGAATGCAAGAAGGCACAAAGAAGAAGTTCTTCATCATTGCATCGGAAGTAATTCCAGCATCTTGCATCTCATACCAATCACTGAATGACATCATGTAATAAATGGCTGGCCTCTGAAAATCATTAAAAGCAGATGGTTCATGGAAAGAATCTGCTCCCATGTTATCAAAGGTAAGCCAACCTCCCACATTCAGCTCAGGAAGAAGACAGCTTTCCACAATTTGATCAAGCTCATCACAGGATGGACCCCAAAGACTGCTTGTAAACAGAGGCTCATCTTCCTTGTATTTCTTGTGAACCTCTGGAATGGTATTTAAGTCCTCAGAAAGTTTACTTGCAAAAGAACCATAAACACCATCATTCATATAATACATGAAAGCTGGTTCATCACTTCCGGTTTTTTCCTACTCCAGAGGAAAATTTATCATTTTCAACAACTTTCTTTGCTATGATATTAACTGCAAGTGTAAATGCAGAAGACACATAGTAGCTTCCGGGTTCTGAAATTATCTTAACACCAGATCCTTCAGGAAAGTAGATATCCAACAGAGGACTGATAACATGATTAACCTCTTCCAATTGAAATTCAGTTCCCGTGAATCCTCCACCAATGTCTAACATGTTCATCGTAAAGCCAATTTCTCCAGCCTTGTCAAACACACATCGAGCATCAGATAGAGCATGTACATATACTTGAGATTCTTTGCAAGCACTCAAAACATGAAATTTAACCCCAATTATTTGGACATCAAGTTCCTTAGCACATTCCAAGAGATGCCTCCAGTTCTTCAGGGTAGTGCCAAACTTCATGTTACCCTCTTCACCTCCAATATTATCTTCTGTTGCAATATGTAGTAAGACCTTGGCATTTGGGTGATTACGTGCAATTTTCTTCAATTCAATTTCATTGTCACATGTCTTGATATTCACTCCAACTTTTGCTGCATACTTTATCTTAGACACTTGCTTGCAAGGACTTATGTAAATAATATTTTCTGGAGATACACCCAACTCTTGCACTAAAGCCATTTCAGTTTTACTGGAACAAGCAAATCCAGTTCCAAGAGCTGCCAAAATCTCAAGTATGGATGGAGCAGAGTTGCACTTCACTGTGTAGAATGGCTTTATCTGAGCCACTACATTCTGCCATTGACTGTGTTTCTTCACAATCTTTCCAAGATCTCCCACAAAAAATGCCTTTTTCCCTGTCAGGGTATGTTCATAAACATAGTTATCAATAACATTTCCAAGGTTTGTTCCTTCATCCAACAGGCCAACGGAGTAGTTTGCATCATCAATAAATCCTTTCATCTCAGCCGTACTCCACAAAGCCGAAAGTCATAAACCAGGAAAAACAAGAGACGGGCCACCAAGCCTATGTCTGGGTCCTTAGAATATGCAACAAAATGGGCAAGTTGGGAGATGGAACCCCCCTATCATCAGCTAGGTTCCCAAGGTGGCTCAGCGTTGAAGTCGAACTGCTCTCTGTACAGCACTTCTCCTAGGCCCTCTGGGAAGTTGTATACTTGGTCAGAAAGTTCGCAGTGAGATAACGGCCCAAAGAGTCGGGTAAAGCATCTTCTCTTTTTTGGCGGAATTTTTAAAGAGGGATGTGGTTACCTTGAGCAGAAATACCCAAGGCAGCCTGGGCCGTAGGCTGCGGGAACGACCTGGGGGTAAAAGCGCGGCACCGACACCAGCTGTGCAGCAGTGGCGGCGGCGGCCTAAAGAGAGAAATAGAACAGCGCAAGGAAAAGAAGAAAGGCGCGGGCTGGGTGCGGAGAGGATTCCGACTCGTCACACCGCAGAACAGTAGAGAGAGAAAGGATGAGAAGAGGCAGAAAAGGCGACGACAGGAGAAAAAAAAGGTAAACCTGTGGCCGCGATGGGAGCCTGAGAATGTCAAGAGTGATCCTTCTTATCAGTTCCATGGCTTTTGGAAACAATAACATCTAATGTTAGTTAATATTTGTACAGCAGTCTGCCATTTAAAATGTACTTTCAGCTGGGTGTGATGGCTCACTCCTGAAATCCTCGAACTTTAGGAGGCGGAGGCAGATAGATCACCTGAGGTCAGGAGTTTGAGACCAGCCTGGCCAACATGGTGAACCCTGTCTCTATTAAAAATGCAAAAAAATTACCCAGATGAGGTAGTGCACGCCTGTAATCCCATCTATTAGGGAGGCTGAGGCAAGAGAATTGCTTGTACCTGGGAAGCTGAGGTTGCAGTGAGCCAAGATCATGCCACTGCACAACAACCTGGGTGTCAGAGCAAGACTCCATCTCAAAAAAAATAATTACTTTTACATGTATTAGCTTATCGAATCCACTTAACAATCCTGTGCTGATGAAGTAGCAGTTGTACTAACATCTTCTGTTGAGTGCTTTTTCTGTGCTCAGAGGAGAAATGGTTACAATTAATACATAATTTTACAGAAGGTAAAACAGGTTCAACAAAGGATGACCTAAAACTTAAATTTAGTTCTTTCTCTTTTTTTTAAATTGAAGCACAAGTTGAGGCCCTTTGTTTGGAGAGTTGGAGCTTCTTAGATTGTCTCCTGAGTCCTTTTGACACAACCTAGTAACCTTTGATCACTCTTTTTTTGCTGTTTATATGAAAAAAACTCTAGGCTTATCTCTTACATTTCCTGCCCCACCCTGAACTCAGCCATTTTCCCAAGGAGCTTTTGATTCCTTTTTGGTTGGAATGATATTTAGAGATTGCATTCTGAGTGCCAGAAGTGCTCAGTGCTTCTAGGCTCATTGTTTCCTGTCTTTTTCTGTGGACAGTGCTAGGACATATGTTTGTTTGTAATGTAAGATACATCCTGAGTTCATGCTGATACCCTCCATTTAAACTCAGAACTTCAGTTCTAAAAGAACTGAAAGCAAGGATTTAAACAAATACTTGTATGCCAGTATTCACAGCAGCATTTGTCAAATGGCCAAAAGGTGGAAACAACCCAATCCATCAATAAGTGAATCGATACACAAAACATAGCATATGTACACAATGGAATATTGTTCAGCTAAAAAAAGAAAAAATTGAATACATGCTACAATATGGATGAGCCTTAAAAATCATCCTTAGTAAAATAAACCAGACACAGAAGGACCCATATGTAATTCCACTTGTATGAAGTACCTAGAATAGACAAATTCACAGAGACAGAAAACAGACTAAAGGATCTAGGTGGTGGGGAGAAGAGGGAATTATGGTTTAATGGTTAAGAGTCTGTTTGTTAAGAGTTTGTTGAGGATGATGAAAAAGTTTTGGGTTTAAACAATGGTGATAGTTACGCGATACTACGAATGTAATGCCACTGAATGATACACTTTCTTTTTTTTTTTTTTTTTTTTTTTTAAGACGAGTTTCACTCTTGTTACCCAGGCTGGAGTGCAGTGGCGCGATCTCGGCTCACCGCAACCTCCACCTCCTGGGTTCAGGCAATTCTCCTGCCTCAACCTCCTGAGTAGCTGGGATTACAGGCACGTGCCACCATGCCCAGCTAATTTTTTGTATTTTTAGTAGAGACAGGGTTTCACCATGTTGACCAGGATGGTCTCGATCTCTTGACCTCGTGATCCACCCGCCTCGGCCTGCCAAAGTGCTGGGATTACAGGCGTGAGCCACCGCACCTGGCTTAATGATACCCTTTCTGATGGTTAAAATGATTTTCATATAGCCTCTTCTGTCTTTCGCCTTTATCTATCTGTGTCTGCTTTTCTCCCACCCAAGAATATCAGTTCCTAACTGTGCCTGGAAATCCCTCTGTCACATAATTCAAATCCAAGTTCTTCTGACTCTGTTCTACTCTTCTACTTAAATCATAGCTGCTTTAAGAAGGCACTGGCCCTTGAACTGTAAAATATTAAATGGAACTGTTTATATAATTTATAGTTAAATATGCATTCATTCACATGGAATTTGTTTTCAGTTTTGGATATCTATTGACTATGGCATTGTTTTATTGAAAATCAAGTGATACTTCCTGGTTGAAGCAGTGTTGGAAGAAATGGCTCTTTTATCAGAATTACATATTCTGATATTGGCATATTATGTTTATCATAATCTCTTGGCTTATATTCTGGGTCCCCTAATTACTCTTTAATTCTTTCTTTGCAAATGAAATAATACACATCTTGTATGGTTTTGCTTTATAGGATTTGCCAGACACTATTCCTTACTTAAAAATATTTACCAGTTAGTTGGGCATCAAGTGCCTGATGATGAGACTATTTTAAAATTAAAACACACTGTTAATGCGTTTTTGAAAGAAAATAAATATAATGGTGAGTTTTTGTTCTTCTGTGACATGGTAAGAGCCCCATAAAACTGCATACCTCAACCATACCTCGGCTTTCTGTTGAAACTGCTCTCTGTAACCCCTAATGTGACAGGCAAGCTGTCCAAACCCATGCCATCTTGGCCCCTGCAACTTGTAATAAGTACTTAAGGTCTGTGATTTCCACCCCACCCAGACAATGTGTAAACAAATGCTTATCTTGACTTTTGTGAACCACTTAAGTAACAGTCAGAATGTCAAAAGTCCCCTGACCCTCAGAATGTCCGGAGCCCCTCACCCTCATCTTCACCCAGGAATCCACTGGAATGTCCAGAGCCCCACACCCTCATCTCCGCCCAGGAGGTGATTTATAGACTGCACTAGCCCTCAGGATGTCTGAAGCCCCTCACCCCCACCCCTGCCCTTCACCCTCACTCCCAAGGTGGTTTTACAGGTATAAAAGGTCTTGACACCCTCCTTTTGGGGCTACGGGTTGGAGAGACGCAAGTCCTCCCTGGCTGCTGGCAATAAAGACCCTGCAATTTGGCATACTTTTGTCTTGGTGTTGATTTTCTATGCTCGCTCCAGTACAACACTTCTTATCTGAACTTTGGTATGCCATATGGATGGAGTTGGGAAATTTTTGGTATTTTTTATAGTTGTAACCTTACCTGTTGTATTTAATAATGCTAAGATGATGAAAATGTCAGATCGTGCTAACAGGGTAAGATGATTAGGAACGGGACAGACCGCTAGAAGGAAAACAACAGGGAGTGCACCAGTGGAATTGCCCCTTTGTCATATGTATTTTAAGATATTTCTGCTGTTTTTCCACTTTGAGTACAGATGAGGAAGGATACCACCACCTCTTATTCTTCATGGGGGAGAACATAAGCCAAAGGCTGGTGCTTTCTTGTTCCTGCTTTAAGATTTACCTTACTCTGTTGAAAATAGAACCTAATAGGCTCTTTATCTTAAGGATCCAGTTGCCTTTTTCTGGCATCTACCTGCCGAAAGAACGTGTTACTTACCATATTTTAAGACTGAAGAAACTCTTGTGTTTGGAAAGCCACTGACACCCACAGGACAAAGCCTTCATTTTGCCTTTTTTCAAATTTAGCTTGAGGAGTGTATACTCTATTACATAAATCTGACAGCAAATATTCCCTTTTTAAAAAATGTGATGGCATAGTGGAGACAGAATAGAGACAGAGGTAGGAAGATAGGGAATGGAAGGTGAGAGGTAGAGACTGGGTCAGTGGGTTTGAAGATAAAATTTCCAATTATAACCCAGTCAGTCACTTAATGTAGACACTAGCTTTTAATTATGTTAATGGATCTTCCTTGTTCACAGATCTTCCCCTGTACTTTAACTTTAAAACTTGAGAGGTTTGGCTTTCTCATTTGTATAAGTTGTCACAGAAATACCACCTTTTAAGATATGAGGGTACAGCTGATGGCCTGTTCACTGCTTCCAGGCTCATTTGTGTGAAACTTTTATATAGCGCCTCATCTGTTCTGTGAGGGCTAGGAGGTCCTTATGAATACATGAGAACACATTTTTAAATCTTAGTTGTTCACATGTTACACTGATTGTCGTCAGATGGATAGACTGAACTCCATGTTGGTCTTCTGCCTGAGTTGTGCTGGCTGGCAGAGTCTTGCATTACTTACTTCCACAGCAGGCGTGGGACCTTGTTTGTAATCAGTTTGGCTACCTCTGCTATAATCCCTTCCCATTGTTACCAGGCTCACTGATAAAAAGAGGACACTACACCCTCCACTCTCTTCTAGAACTGGTAGAGAAGCAAAATAAATTGATGCAGTAAACACGGAGATCCTTTTAGATTTGTTAGAGCATGAGGACACAGAGGTGTTAGCAGTCTTTGTTTTTTATTGTAGCAGCTCACAGTTATCTAGGAAAATAAACATGTAGTGCAAGTGGTTTAAGATGTGGGTTAATAGACAAAAAGTTCATTATAATAAAAGAATAAATTAAGTACAGTGAGAATATAGAGGAGAGATTGATGACAGCCTCACTGGAGACCACATTCGAGCTGCGGAGAAGAGAATTTTGCCAGAATGAGAAAAGGACAGCCCAGTTTTGGGGATTAGGTACAAAAGGCACCAGGCATAAAGCCATGGAGAGGCAGCCTCATGTGTGACTAGAAGATAATGTGAAAAGGCATGGAGTTCATATGTTCATTTTCAACAAATAATTATATAACCTAAGTTGAAGAAACTTTTCTTTTTTTTTTTTGAGACGGAGTTTCACTCATGTTACCCAGGCTGGAGTGCAATGGCGCGATCTCAGCTCACCGCAACCTCCGCCTCCTGGGTTTAGGCAATTCTCCTGCCTCAGCCTCCTGAGTAGCTGGGATTACAGGCACGCACCACCACGCCCAGCTAATTTTTTGTATTTTTAGTAGAGACGGGGTTTCACCATGTTGGCCAGGATGGTCTTGATCTCTTGACCTCGTGATCCACCCGCCTCGGCCTCCCAAAGTGCTGGGATTACAGGCGTGAGCCACCGCGCCCGGCCAAGTTGAAGACACTTTTCTAAAAAGTGGGAATAGAACAAAGTCCTTGCCCTTATATACTTTACATTCTAGTGGGGGAGAGAAATAAGCAAATACATACATGGAATATATATGGTGATAAGTGCTTTAGAGAATAACAAAACAGGATAAAGGGGTGAGGGAAGATGTGAGTGATTAGGAAGGCCTCTTTATGAAGATATCATTTGAGCAGAACCCTAAAGGAAGTAGTGAACCAAGTCATTGGGTGTCTGGAGAGGAGTGTTCCAAGGCAGAGGGAACAGCAGTGCAAAGTCCCTGAGGCATGACTGTGCTAGGCATGTTTGAGGAGTGGTAAAGAGGCCAGTGTGGCTGGAGTGGTGGTAATGAGGGTCAGAGCGGGAGAAATGGGATCTGAGAGGTTGGGGGTGGGCAGAAGGGAGGTGGATCATATAGGCCCTCGTAAATCATACTTAGGACCATTGTGGACGTGGATCAGTTGGAAAGACAGATTGATATCAGTTGATAAAGGATTCTAAGTGCCATGCGAACTGTGGCCATCATGCTATGCTAAATTAAGACTTTTAAGCAAAAACAACCCAGCTAGGCTATGTTTTAGAAAGACAACATCTGCCATGTGGAGGATCAGTTGAGATAGAAGTAGGGAAAGTAGGGAGATTAATTTGTTGTAGTAATCCAGGCAGGCAATGATGAGTGGCTTCTGCTTCTGCTTCTGCTTCTGTTTCTGCTGCTGCTGCTGCTTCTTTTTCTTCTTTGTTCTTTCTTCCTCTTCCTTCTTCCTTCTTCTTTCTTCTTCTTCTTCTTCTTTCTTCTTTCTTCTTCTTCCTTCTTTCTTCTTCTTTCTTCTTCTTTTTTTTTTTTTTTTTTTTTTGAGACAAAGTCTTGCTCTGTTACCCAGGCTGGAGTGCAGTGAGATGATCTCAGCTCACTACAACCTCTGTTTCCCAGATTCAAGAGATTATCCTGCCTCAGTCTCCTGAGTAGCTGGGATTACAGGTGCCTGCCACAACACCCAGCTAATTTTTTTGTACTTTTAGTATAGACAGGGTTTCGCCTCGTTGGCCAGGCTGGAAAGTGCTGAGATTATAGGCGTGAGCCATCACACCTGGCTGATGAGTGCCTTCCTTACCATACGCTACCTAAAGTCACAGACACAGATTTTGCAAAGATAAATTACACTTTTTAATTTAATTCCTCATATAATGTGTTTTAAAAGGGCGGACTAAGAAATACTGCGGTGTAATGGGAAAAATATTAGACTTCATACTAGTCTTGTGCTGTTTGCCTGCTTTGACTTACATCTCCAAGCCTTGCCTTTTCATGGTGAAGTTTGAATACTGCTATTTACCTGAGCACTTCACAGGGCACATAGACCTGTGGCATGTGTGGAGCACCAAATGAGAGAAGGAATGGAAGCTCATTGGGAACTCGAGTACTATGGAAACAGTCCTTACTATTCAGTCTCAAGACTGAAGGCATTTTCATTTGTTTCATTCAGAAACAAATTTCATTCTTCTCATAGCCGGTTGTTGCTTTCACTCCCTTTTGTATAATTAAATTAATTACTGATGGGCATTCTATTTTTAGATAGATGGGTTTGTCTGATTGCAGATTTAGCTGTTAGTATCTTTTTTTTTCTTTTTAAATCCACAGTCCAAAACTGCAATTAAGCTGTTAGTATCTTACCAGGCCTGTAGTTTATATCATTAAGTCTAATTGGGACCATGCCAAGTTTCCCAGAAGCAGTGAATTTTGGCATTCTGTTAGATGATTCTTTATAGTATGTTCCTAAAAAAAAAAATCCTCTTCAGAGTTATTCATTTTCAGGGCAGTGATAATGTTATACACTTGTGTATGCCCTTCAGTTTCTTGGCCCTGTATTTTCTTTTTAAAGACAAACATTTTGGTGTCCACTGTTCCCATGGGTTAAACAGGACTGGCTACCTCATTTGCAGGTAAGTTCCAACCCCAGAGGGAGACCATTTTAAAGTTGTTTTTGTCTGTTTACAATAGTAATGTAAAGCTGTTGTAAAAAAATGCAACCAGTCCAGAAATACATGAAGTAGAAGGCAGTCTTGATCTCACCCAGAGATTACCACCATTAATAATTTAGTACACATCTTTTCAGACTCTAAAAATGCAGATACAAACATACATGTGATTGAATGGTATAATAGTCAGACATTCTGTTTTTTAATATGTGATAGACATCTTTCTTTGGAAGTACTTGGACTTCTCATTCTTTTTAAGGGATGTTTTCCTTTGCATACCGATGAACACCAAAGTCAGAAATTTTTGATATTATAAAAAACATTGACATCGTGAACATTTCTATATAAACATTTTTGAATACATACGCCATAGACCCAGAGGTGATTTCACTCAAAATAGAATTTCTGAATCAAATCATATGTGTCCTTATGCTTTTCCTGGATGTTGCCTCACTGTACTGATTTATATTTGTTCATTCAGAAAATATCTCCTGAGCATCTGTTATGTGTAGGCACTGTGTTGGGTGCTAGCAAAGAGACTTCAGCTGCCCTGTGCCTCCTAACAGTCTAGGGAGGGAGTAGATACTAAAGAATCACACAAATGCCTATAGAATTACAACTCTGGCAAGTGCTGAGAAGGAGAGGAACGTGGTACAATGAGAGCATAGAACAGGGAGGATTTGACTTCAGGGAGAGGACCAGAGATTTCTGTGAGGAGGTCTGAAGTATGAGTTCGTGTCCACCAGATAGTGCTGTCGTGGAGAGAATTCTGAACATCAAGGATCGGCAAAGCCCAAGTAACAGTAAAGTGTATACTGTGTTAGAGGAACTGGCCAGGGAGATTGGGCCATGGCGGGGGGGAAGTATGGCATTAAAATGGAGCTGGAAATATGGGTACGAGCTAAAACCATGCAGAGCTATGTGTAAGGTTTTAGTCACTATCTTAAGAACGATAGAAAACCGTTGAAATTTTTTTTGTGTTGGGGATAAGTGTGGGAAACATAATCAAATTTACATTTTCAACCTATGATTTTGCTGCCGAGTGGAGACTGCACTGCAGAGGGAAAGAGGTAGAAGCAAGAAGACACATTAGGAGGTATTTGCAGGAATTAAGGCATAATGGTGGAGTGGACCAGGGCATGGTGGTCATTTTGGTGGAAAGATACAGACATATTCTAGAGATATTTAGGCAATACTGTTGTCAGGAAATGGTGGTGGATTGAAGATGAGAGTATGTAAGAAATGGCTGACCGTGATGGTGACTCCCAAGTTTCTGGTCCATTCTGTTGGTTATACGGTATTTTTTAGATATAATGTTAATATTTTTCCCAATTTGTGTTTTATTTGTTGTTGGTTTCTGATAAATGCTGTGTTGTATTAAGGAAGTCTATTTTTGATATATAAAGCATTTTGATAAAAAATGATTCCATAGTCTCTTTCCTTTTGTTTATTAGTTAAATTATAGTAATGTAAATAAATATGTAAATAGATCTTCTGAAGTTGAGTCATCCTTGCATTCTTGAAAAACATCATTTTGTGGTCATGGTTTGTCATCTTTTAATAATTGCTGGATTTGATGTGCTGATATTTTCTTAAGATTTTTATATCTATGTCTGTAAGTTGAAATAGGACCCTTTTTGAAAAATCTTGATTTTTTTTCTTTTCATATATATACATGACCCAAAATATGTTGTTTTGTTAGATATTTGATTGATGTAGAAGGCATGAGGCCAGATGATGCAATTGAATGTAAGTATGAGGGTTGTCACTCTTCTTCCCTTTTTATAAAAGTTAAAGGTGGAAATATAGAAAAGTTTGTCAAATTTTGGAAACAAGGTTTGTAATTCATTCATTCCAATGTAAGATAGTCTTGCGAAAAAGTCTATAGATGTCTGTGGAAGTAGTGAGATATCGCAGCCTGAATAGTGCATTTCAGCCTAATTTACTTTTTCTGGGAAAGATTTGCTTTTCGTACAGTTATTTCTAACAGGTTATCCACTTCTCAGTATTCAGTAGGTGCTGGGGACATTGCTTAGAAAGAAAAATCTCTTGACAATGGTCCTATCAGAAAGTCTTATTGATTGATTGTCCTGAGATGGAGTCTTGCTCTGTCGCCCAGGCTGGAGTGCAGTGGCATCATCTTGGCTCACTGCAACCTCTGCCTCCCGGGTTCAAACAGTTCTCCTGCCTCAGCCTCCCAAGTAGCTGGGATTACAGGTGTGCACCACCATGCATGGCTAATTTTTGTATTAGTAGAAACTGGGTTTCACCATGTTGGCCAGGCTGGTCTGGAACTCCTGACCACCTGATCCACTCACCTTGGCCTCCCAAAGTGTTGGGATTACAGGCATGAGTCACTGCACCCATAATTCTTGTGTTTTATATGTGAGATTTGTGTGGCAGGGCGATCTCTTTTTATATAATGTAAATTGCGTATATCAATTTTTCTGGTAGGTTGTTTATTTGTTGTGGGAGATGTAAACAAATAGGAATGGGAAAAGGAAGAAATTGTTATTTTCATAGGCCAAAATATAGTCACTAAACTGATGAGTACATTTGGAAACCAGTAATAATGTGTGGAAATATTCTGATTAAAGAATTGGAATTCCAATGTACCTAGGTCAAGTGGTTTTGAAGACTCAGCACATTTCATGCAGCCAGTCCACACCATGAATTCGCCTCTTAAACAAGGACCTAGTTGTAATCTACATGGGATCCAGGTTCACCCAACTCCTTGGCATTTCCACACTCAGACCCAAAATTTGGAACAGTTAGTCAGGTACCTCTCTCTGTTGTCCTTTTCCTAGAATTGAGGTAGAAATTAATACTGTAATTAATGAAAACGTATTCTGAGACTGATGAGGAATTCTTGCTGATCAATTTGAACCAGGAGATAGTATTCTGCTCTGTATTTTGCAGTTAGCACTGGAAAAATCAGTTACAGGACAGGGAATATGTGACTTTTCAGAGGCAACTGGGAAAGGGACTTAGAAATTTTCATTGATTTTGAACTTAAGCCAAGAGTTTGATTTGACATCCAAAAGGATCTTATATTCTTAGGCTACATTAATGTTATATGGTTTTAGATCAGGAAGGTTTTTACTTAGAGAGTTAATATGAATTATAAGAAAAGTAATAAAATCCTAATAGAGAAATTGCAAAGGATCTGAACAGATAAACAACAAAAGTATTTTTACTTGGAAAATGGGGAAAACCTCAGTATGGTTAAAGTAGTACATTAGTATGAGTTCTCCAGAATGATAGAACCAGTAGCATGGATGGATGGATGAATGGATGGATGGATAGATAGATCGGTGGGTTGGTAGGTGGGTGGCAGGGCTTTTTTATTAGGGGAATTACCTTATGTACTTAGGAAGGCTGAGAAGCTTCATAGTAGGCTGTCTGCAAGCTGGAGAACCAGGGAATCTGGTAGTGTTCAGTCCAAGTCAGAAAGCCTCAGAACCAGGGAAGCTGATGGAATAACTCTAAATCCAAGGCTGAAGGCCTGGAAATCTGGTAAGGGTTGGAGAACACTGGTGGGAGTCCTCAAGTCCAAAGGCAAGGAAGCCTGGAGTTCTGATGTCCAATAGTAGGAGAAGGTAGGGTATTCCAGCTCCAGGAGAGAGCACAATTAGCCTTTCCTCTGCCTTTTGTTCTATCCAGGCCTCCGGCCTATTGGATGGTACCTACCCATGTTGAGGGTATATCCTCCCACTCAGTCCACCCACTCACACACCAGTATCCTCTGGAAACACCCTCACAGACACTCCCAGAAATAGTACTTCACCAGCTATCTAGGTATCTCTTAATCCAGTCAAGTTGACACCTAAAATTAACCATCACAAATAGCAAGGTATTATTCTTTGCCTCTTAATTTAGCGATAGGTTTTCTTTGTTTATTTTTGTTTTTGGAGACAGAGTCTCGCTCTGTTGCCCAGGTTGGAGTGCAGTGGCACAATCTTGGGTCACTGCAACTGCCACTTCCCAGGTTCAAGCAATTCTCCTGCCTCAGCCTTGTGAGCAGCTGAGATTACAGGTACCTGCCATCACACTGGCTAATTTTTGTATTTTAGTAGAGATGGGGGTTTCACCATGTTGGCTAGGCTGGTCTTCCAACTCCTGACCTCAGGTGATCTATCTGCCTCGGCCTCCCAAAGTGCTGGGATTACAGGCATGAGCCACCACCCCTGGCCAGTTTAGCAATAGTTTTTGATAAGCAGTATAGTGTAGTGGTTGTCAGGCTGGACCTGGTTTTGCATCTGGGCTCTGTTACCTGCTTTGTGATCTTGAGTGAGATACTTAGCCTGTCTACATTTCCATTTTTCCATCAGTCTGATGGAGATTTTCATAATACACACCCCATAGTGGTTATTTTTGAAAGTTAACATGAATTTAAACAGTTGAGCACCTTGTAAACTCTTTCAAAACAACGTTGGCCTTTTTAGGTCATGCATGTTGGGAGGATTGCTTGAGCCCAGCAGTTGGAGACCAGCCTGGGCAATATGTTGGAAACATTCCTTTTTTTTTTTTTGAGATGGATTTTCACTTTTCTGCCCTGTCTAGAGTACAATGGCAAAATCTCGCCTCACCACAACCTCCATCTCCTGGGTTCAAGGGATTCTCCTGCCCCAGCCGCCTGAGTAGCTGAGATTATAGGTACACACCACCCACTACACCCAGCTAATTTTGTATCTTTTAGTAAAGATGGGGTTTCTCCATGTTGGCCAGGCTGGTCTCAAACTCCTGACCTCAGATGATCTGACCACTTCAGCCTCCCAAAGTGCTGGGATTACAGGTGTGAGCCACCATTCCTGGCCTGGACCCCTGTTTTTATTAAGAGGAAAAAAAAATTTGGCTTTTCTATTAAGGTGTTTTTTTTTTCTTTTTTTTTTTTTTGAGATGGAGCCTTGCTCAGCCGCCAGGCTGGAGTGCAAAAGCACATTCTCAGCTCACTGCAACCTCCACCTCTCAGGGTCAAGAGATTCTGCAGCCTCAGCCTCCTGAGTGGTTGGGATTATAGGCGTGCAGCACCAGGTCTGGCTAATTTTTTGTTGTTGTTGTTGTTTTTGATATTTTTAGTAGAGACAGGGTTTCACCATGTAGGCCAGGCTGGACTCAAACTCCTGATGTCAGGTAATCCACTCACCTCAGCCTCCCAAAGTGCTGGGAACAGGCATGAGCCACCATGCCTGGCCTGAAAATTGACATTTTTAAAAGATGTAAACAAACATTTTAAAAACATGTTGCTAGTGGCATTGAAAATTGGTTTAAGCCTTTTGAAGCACAATTTCAAGAGCCATAAAAATGCTTTACCTAGTAATTTTATTTTGAGACTAAGGAAATACTTCAAAATGCAGAAAAAGCTACATTTACTGAATCCTTCAGCACATTTCTCAAGCCCCCTACCTTGTGTAGGACCCTGGGCTAGCTCAGGATCTGGTAGTCTATGTTTTGCAATGTTAATCCCAGCATCATTTGTGGTTGTGGAAAAACTTGTAGCTGCTGTGTTTCCAACTGGAGAATGTAGCTAAATAATGATTACATCTATACTATAACATTTTATAAAGCCATTGAAAGTGGTAGCTTATTTATGATAAGTGAAAATAATAGGCTGTGATTCAACAGTCAGAAAAAGATGCTGGGGAAAAGAACAAAAGGAAATACTAACTAATTGAATTATAGTGAGTGGGATTGAGGGCTCTGTAGCAGGGGTTTATTTTTTCTTTTCTGAGATTTCCGATTTTTCTTTTGTATAATTATAGAAGGTTTTCTGATCTTGCTTTTGAAACAAGTAAATTTAAATCCTATTTTTTCAAATTTGCTACATGTACCATGGTTAAAGTTGTTCTACATTTTATAATTTGTGTATATTCGTTTATAAAGTAGAAGTAGCCGTGTGTTTTCAGTACGAAATAGCTTATTGTGTCTTATGTCAGCCCTACCAGACTTTGGGAGAGAAAGTATTTAATTGGAGTAGTATGGGCATGCATTCCATGCATTTATTTCTGTAGGGAAAGGTGGAAAGGCTTCTGGGAATCCACACTGTGCCAGGGCATTGTGGGTAATTGAAATGTATTTTCTTAATTTAGCTTCATAACAGCTCATGAAGGTGGAAAGTGTTATTAGCCTCATGTTATAAAGAACTTAGGGAAATAAAAATCATGTAGTTTATCTGCCAAGGTCACACAGGTTAGTAGAGTATATGTTATTTTGTAAATTTATGAGTTTAAAATATTTTATAAAAATATAATTTTAAAATAAACATTATTTTATTAATCTTACTAATGGCTTATTACTTTTTGTTTTGCTTTAAGAACGTTTTCACAGAATCCAAATGTTTACTGGAGAGGCCATATGGCTCCTCCTGGTCCCCCTGGAGAAGTTTATTCACACAGGAAGTACACTTGGAATGTGAAGCCAAATGCCAGTAGAGCAGCCCAGGAGAGAAAAAGGTGGTATCCTGACAATTACTCCAGACTATCCTATCCAGCCTATTGGGAATGGACCCAGTGATACAAACCTGTCCTGGAATTGTACCTGGAGACCAGAGCTGGCCTAAAGATTGCTGGTGATCAGGTTTAATGAGGTTTCTTTATTGTTCCCTTATGTGTTCAAGCTTAAGAAAAAATTATATTGCTGTTTACCTCACTAGGAAGGTGGCACAGTGTTACTGGCTTGTGTGTTGTTGTGAAGGTGAACTGAAGTAGCACATCTCACTGGCCCATGCACAGGTGGTGAGTCAATGGTGATCTATACTCCAGGGTCTTTTCTGGGCCAGCTTCAAGCTGCTTCAGTTCACTTGGCTAGGTCCAGGTTATCAGCTGCACCTAGAACTGTGAGCCCTTGCCATTGCCTGGTGGTAGGTTCCCCTATTTTGTACTGACATTTCCCAGCTGTGATCATATATGTATAAGGTAACCCAAACCTGCTGGAGATGAGTCCTGAATCTTATTTTCTAAAACACCTATCTGATAGGCCATGAGACATAAGGCCATCATCCATGGGAGATTTTGTACATTTCTTTTGGTCCACCCAGCCTTATTTTCTGCCATTTTCAACTTCTATCCAAATTTTATTCTTTTAGTCCTAACCTCAGATTCTGCATCTTAACTTCTGCCATTTCCCCCATTTCTGATTCTTTGTATAAGCTCATGAAATCTCTCCCCTTTTGACTTTCTTAGTCCTGGACCATGTTCCTTCCTCTTTCCTTAGTTCTACTGTCTATTCTCACACCATCCAACTTTTAGTACCTTCTTGTTTTGATTTCATTTATTTATTTATTTTTTTGAGATGGAGTTTCGCTGTGTTGCTGAGGCTGGAGGGCAGTAGTGTGATCTCGGCTCACTACAACCTCTGCCTCCTGCGTTGAAGTGATTCTGCCTTAGCCTCCCAAGAAGCTGGGATTACAGGAACCCACCACCACACCCAGCTACTTCTTTGTATTTTTAGTAGAGATGGGTTTGACCATGTTGGCCAGGCTGGTCGTGAACTCCTGACTCAGGCGATCTACCCACCTTGGCCTCCTAAAGTGCTGGGATTACAGGCATGAGCCACCACGCCCAGCCATAATTCCTTCTAAGGTGACCTTTGATCCCCACCACACCAAGGAAAACCCACAGTCAACAGCATCTCAAAACTCAAAAGCCTATTTATTACTTATCTATTAATTCTATTAGATTTCTTTATTAAGTTTAAAAAATATATTATTGGAATAAATAAATCAGTGTCTATATATTTTGAAAAGCAGCTGGTATACAAAGTAAAGCCAACAGTCTCAGCAGCTCTTAGATTCTGTAGCCGTAGTATTGAGAAATTTCCATATCTTTTTCCCTTTGGATGAAGAACTGCAGTTTCCCCAAAGATGTATATTTGGCAGCATTCTCACGCTCTTGCTGAGCCTTCCTCTTCATGGCCTCACGCTCTGGCCTCTGCTCTTTTGTGATGGGCGTTGACACTACTGGCCCAGAAATGTCAGGCGTCCTCCATGGCCTGGGTTGTAAGCTGAAGTCTTGGATTAGAAATTGATATTGAGGCTTGGGCAGTGACTGGAGATTGGTTACAGCAGTGGAAACAGGCTCCTGCTGGAGAGAAGAGCAAGATGATGTTTCGTAGGGTGCTGGCCTAGAAGCAGCAGACTGAGAGGCAGTAGGAGGCTGGTTAGGGTTGGCTGAATCGGGTTGGGTTGCATTGGTGGAAATTGGCTGAGCTTGTCTGGCAGGACCTGTCAAAGATGTGTTGGTAGGAGCCGGTTGGGACGGACTGACTGCAGTCGACTGAGCTGAGTTAGTAGAACCAGGTCGAGCAGGGCAAGCCACAGCAGGCCTAAGTGAGGCCGGAGGGTGTGGCCGCCGAGAAACAGGTTGAGCTTGAGGTTTGTCCAGGGTCAGAAATGGCAGCGGTACCAACTTGACCTTCCCAGGTGGTGGCAAGTCATACTGGGATGGAGATGGACACTCTTTTTCAGCATTATCATCCAGTTTTTGGGCCTTGACTTGAGTTTTGTCCGGGCCTTTCCCCTCACATTGGGTATCCAGCCATGGTTTGAGAGCTGAGAATGGCTGGGGATTCTGGATGTTACTTGAGCTTCCCAGAGTCCGAGAGGAAGAGAATCCAGTTTTCTTGTCGATCTTTTTCCCCAGTGCATGGAAAACTTTCACGGACTCTAGCATGTGCATGCCTAGGGAGCTTCGTGGCTTTTTGAACGTCTCTTGGCTAAGCTCAGGTTGATATTTCTTCCGCTTCATTTTGGGAATAGCTTGCTTCTCTTCTACCTTGACTTTGTTCCCTGACGGCTTACTGTCTTCAGATTTCTTAGAACTGTTCTCTCTGCTCCTTTTGGTCTTCTCCTGCCCGTGCCTCTTAGTTGTGCTGCTCCTGCTGGATGCGGCTTTGTGAGGTTTGTTGCTAGAATCCTTGCCCTTGTTCACAGAAGCACTGTCACTGGCGGTAGCACTGCAAACAGCCACTGCTCCCTCTAACAGGCTCTCTGGGTTCTTTGGCTGGATTTTGGCCTTGGGAGCACCCTGGATAGGCTCGGCAGCTTTATGCTTGTTCTTCCTGACTTGATCAGAGTGACCTTTTATGATGCTTGACTTTTCCTGCACCTGATTTACCTTGATGGCACTGGGATCTTTGGCTTTCTTTACTGAGGGACTTTTGGGTTGGTCAAGGTCTTGTAAGGAACTGAAGATGGAGGGACTTTTGGGTTGTTCCAGATCTTGTAAGGAACTGAAGATGAAGGGACTTTGGGGTTGGTCAAGATCTTGTAAGGAACTGAAGATCGAGGGGAGGTGAGTACCCTCGACCAATGTAGTGATGTCTGCAAGATCATTGCTAGACTCAATCCCATTTTCAAGTATCCCTTGGCCCTCAAGACTCAGGCTGTTCTTTCTCAGATTGGCATTTTCAGAACCAGGCTGCTCCTCTTGGCCAAGAGGATCAATGCAGGACAGAAGCTGGTGAATATCAGGGATTTCTAAAGGAAGCAGTGAAGGATCTTGATTTTCTTTTGGGAACTGGTAGGCATCTAGAGGCTTTGAAACTTTGGTTTTAATCTCATCCAAATTCTTATTCTCAGTTTTGTCCTGGCTTCGAGCTGGAGACAGTGCCAAGAGATTAGTTGGACTCTGGACTGGAGCTATCATTGAAATGTCCCCAAGCTCAGGTGATGGATTACTCTCAAGTATCTGGGTATTTCGGGTATTGCAGGACTTGGAGAATTCTGGAGTTTGTGCCAGACAAAATGTCTGGCTTGGAGATTGAAATCCCAGGGAAGTATGCATCCCCAGGGAAGTTTCCATCACTACAAAGGAATCAAGGAAGAAGTCAATCCCTGGTAAATGAGATGTTCCCCCTATATGCCAATGCAACAATGGGATACCTTTCTAACATGGGCCAGGCATTTCTACTAGCTCTTCTTCAGGACCATGGATAAGACCCTGTGTTGGATGATAGGCAATGACTGTTCTCTTACTGGTTATCATTTGATGTGATTGTTTCTTGGCTTTCTTTGAATTTCATAGTGGTGTTGTAAGCCAAATAAAAAGTGAAAGTGATTTTTAAATAGGAGATGTTTTATAAAGCCTCACATTCTCATATAGGGTCATTTCCATTCTCTCCACTCTCTTGAGAGAATAAGAACCCTTTACACCATGGTCTAGGTGAGAGAGTGGAGCCGTTCCTCATGAAATATATAAGCAAGCACAGACTCTGAGCCTGTTTGTTTTGGATAGGATCTCTGAGCACAAGGTCTTAAATCCTGTTGTAAGTTAAGGAAAATCAAAATGTCACTGCAAAAATAAGAGTTCTGAAGGGCCTTCCAAAGAGACTCAAGTAATAGATTAAGGAAGAAAGTTACAGCCTGCTGGTGCAGGGGAACTGATTAGCCAGGCCACTAAAAAGTTTTGTATCTCTTGGGACTCTTGTTACAATTTTAGTATATGTGCTGCCGAAGTGAACACATCTCTTGGGACTCTCTTACATGTGGCATAGATGGCCATTATAGTCTTCCACTTTCCCACTTCGAAGGTGTTCTTACACAGAGCCTGAAAATGATCAGCAGTGCCCAAGAATAGTGGTTGAAGTCTCAGGACTTAAATTCTGCCTTTCTGTGGACTTACCACTTGGCTATAGATTTGACCCTCCCTTTCAAGGCTGGGTGTATTCCTCTCCTTTCTTGTTGGTTGTACTCACCTTGAAAACTGGTTTCTGTGATGGGTTCAGCAGATACAGGGTAATACATCCCAGAAGTGGAGACTGGTGGTAGGACTTTTGTTGGCTGAACCTCCTTTAGCACTATCACAATTTCTGGTTGATGGGCAGAGGTCCTATCTCCTGGGTATGACACAGAGGCATAGGATTGCAGCCAGGGGCCAAGTTCTCCAGATAGTTGAGGCCCCAGTGTGCCTGGATTATAGTAATATACCTGGCTTCCTTTCTGGTAGGGGAGTGACAGGCTATGGCCGTGCTGGTTTGGAATTTGAGATTGTGTCCTCTGAATAAGGCTGGCAGATAGTGTTGGATACAGAGGGACCATAATATTGGCATCTGAAGTTTTATCATGCTGGGCTGTCATAGACATGGAAGAGACAGCTGTGTTCTGGTCAATAACAGTCACAGTGAAGTCCCTGAGTGAGGATGACTTCTTTTCTGTGCTTGCTGTAATATCCCATGCAAAAACGCTTGGGTAAGAGGCAGCTGAAGTAGAGCTATGGCTCTGGCTACTAACCCCAGACAACATAGATGTGCTGGAATGTTGGTAAAGGTAGGCACTGCCCGTGAGTGGCTGGAAAGAGGTGCCAGAGGCTGATGGCAGTAGCCATGCTGAGCTAACAGCTGGAGCAGAGGCTCTGGAGAAGTTGGAGATGCTTCCTGTTAAGGAAGCCGCATTGCTCACCACAGGAAGTGAGAGCTGCAGAGAATTTGCAGTTCCAAGCAAAGAAGTATTTTGGAAATCTTCTGTAGGAAAGAAAGAAAGAAGAACAAACAGATGAGATTGAAAAAATTTCGCCTTATTTGAAGAACAGCATCATCTTAAGGTTGTTTCAATCAGAAAGCCTCTAATACCGATATTCACTGAGATACCAAAAGCAAAACAGTTTATGATGGCCATGAGTGCTGAAGCGGTTTGGTCCTCTTGTGATGAACTGCCTTTGTGTCCAGTTTGGTCACAGATGTGAAGAAGACCCAAGCGGTCTGGCTTTGTACGTTTTTTCCTAGGCTAGAAGCAACCTTCTCCCTTCCCTATCTTTCCCTTGCATCTGGGTGAGTATTGGTTCATAACTATTTCGTAGAATTGGAGCATTTTAGAACTGGTAAGTCCGTAGAGAAGTACCTCATTTTATGAGTAACTGAGGCTGAGAGAGGTCAGATTGACCTGTTTAATTAACCATTATGTTAATGTCATCACCATGACTTCCTTGCCAGGATTCTTTTCTCTGAGCATAGACCAGAAACCAGGAGAAATAGAACTTTTAATATGACAATTTTGGTCTATGAGAATATAGTACAGCTATTACTTTTATAATCATTACTGTAACATTTGCTTATACAGGTCATGTGACATTTGCTAGCATTTACATTTAACCCAGGCCGTTGGTAAATCTGAAGGGTCATTCTTTGCCCTCTTTAAGCCTGGTTTTTTATAACAAGTCAAAATACTACCTGATAGTTTTACAAAGAAATTTTTTTTTGGTCTTTTCTTTGTTTGTTTGTTTTATCTTGTTTGTTTTTTTGAGGCAGAGTCTCACTCTGTCACCAAGGCTAGAGTGCAGTGGCTTCACCTTGGCTCGCTGCAGGCTTTGCCTCCTGGGCTCAAGCAATTCTCATGCTTCAGCCTCCTTAGTATCTGGGATTATAGGCATGCACCACTGCACCTGGCTAATTTTTAATAGCGACAGAGTTTCATCATGTTTGCCTGGATGGTCTCGAACTCCTGACGTCAAGTGATCTGCCCACCTCGGCCTCCCAAATTACTGGGATTACGACGTCAGCCACCATGCTTGGCGTGGAAGCATCATTTCTAAAACACATTTCTAAAATGCTTATATTAAAAACTGTCAATTGTCATCTATGTTAAAAAAGGGCAACAGAAAAAAACAACTGAATGTGACTTCCGATAAAAGCCAACTTCATTTTGCCCTATTCTGAGTAGATTTTACTCTGTTTTATTTCTGCTTTTCTTCTAAAATTTAAAATATATATATTTTTCCCTTGAAATCATTTTGTCATTCTCCAAAGTGTATCCAAAGGGAAGTGTAGGGGACTCTGTCTTTCTGCTTCATTTAAAATCCCAAATTCCTTACCCTAGAATATCTGCCTCCTTATAACCCAGTACTCTTCATTTTCTCTTTCCATCTAGTTTAGATAGAAATCTCCAAAATGTGAATATTACTTTTGTTTGTTTCAGACAGGGTCTCACCTTGTCAGCCAGTCTGAAGTCCAGTGTTGTGAACATGGCTCACTGTAGCGTCAACCTCCTGGGCTCAAATAGTGAACTGATCCTCCCACCTCAGCCTCCTGAGTACCTGGCATGTCCCCATACCTGGATGATTTTATTAAGTAAATTGTAGAGATTGGGACTCTCCATGTTGCCCAGACTGGTCTGGAACTCCTAGGCTCAAGCGATTCTCCCATCTCGGCCTCCCAAAGCACTGAGATTACAGGTGGGAGCTACCATGCCCAGCTGAATATTAAAAACATCACTACACATAACTAAATATAAAATAGTAAAGTTAAAATATTAGTGAGGGAGATGGCCTCCCAAAGTGCTGAGATTATAGGTGTGAGCCAGTGTGCCTGGCTGAATATTTAAAACATCACTAAATTTAAAATATTAGTTGGAATATTAGTGGACGGAGACTATTACACATGAAACACCTCAGATTATGTTGCCAGTTTTCTATGCCACTTATGTTTTCTCTCTAATTCTGTCAAAACGAACAGCCTCAAATGTGTCTGATTTCATTTTCTGTACGTGTGCCCTTTAAGACTCAGCATTAGAAAAGAAAAGGGCAAGAGGGAGTAACCAATCTATTATCCTAATGTAACAGATGAGGAAACAGATTTTGTGAGAGAATAAAAGAAATATCTAAAGTCACACACCTAATAAACGTCAAAGCCAAAACTGAAATGAGGTCTCTAGATTTCTCCTTCAATACTTTCCCTGTTATTCCAAGCTGTTTGGGACTGTAGGGGTAAAGAAATCTAAAGTTATGGGGAAGAAGTAAAATGAAAAACTGTCAAGAAAGTTTCTCTCTTTACCTGACATGGTCAGAGAAGAAGAAACATCAACTATAGATGCAAGGGATGAAGAGACGATCCTAGTGGATGTCTGGGTGGCTGAAGCCAAGGAGCGCATGTGTCCAGTATGAAGGCCACTGGTCACACTGGTCACTGGCCACTTGCGATGATACAAATTTACAGGCTACCCCAAGATTCTACCAGGTGGCAGTAGGCTTGCTGAGAGAATGATGTCACAAAGCAGGCAGTTTAAAGGTGTGCGATAGCCAATGGGGAGGCCAGATCCCAGGAAGATGGGATTGGCTGGCAGAGGTGGTAGGAAAGCTGAAACAGTGCTAAGTGGCTGAGTTCCAGGGAGGTGAAATCTTGCAAGATCATCTTAGTGTTTCTTATACATGTTCACTAATATCATAGACTAATATTTATATTTTATATGTCATATTTCATACTATATAATGCTATACATTTATAATTGTATAGTACATACACAGTATCCTTGCAGAGAAAGGAAAGGGACATCTAAGCTGAGCAATTACCATTGTTCTAAAAGCATTTCAGTGAATCTGATTAATGAATTTACTGCTGCTTTTAAGGGCCAAACGAAGACATTAAAGAACCCTCTTTTGTACCTTGGTTGAAGAGCAAAGTTTATTGACTGCTCCTTGTAGGAAATGATGTGGTCCAAGGCGCCTCTCTTTTAATTTCTTCCCCTTGAATCCTACCTTCCTTGGGCCGGCCCAGGCTCGATCAGGTTGGACTTGGATGTCTCTCCTGCTGTCCGTTTTCCCCTTGATTTTAGGCATTGTTTCTGGGCCAACCCTTGATCTTGCATTTTTACACTCGTGGATATGACTTCCTGTCAACTTCTGGAGCAGAGGTATTCTTTTCAGTGTTGGGACGTTTGGAAAACGGACTCTGCTCATGAGAAGCAAACACCAGAGAGGTAGAAGACAAGGCCGACTGCAGACCTTCCCTCTTCTAGCCTTTGTTCACAATTCTTTTGCCTATAGTTTGCACCTCTGGCTCCTTGGGCCACACAGACATCCTGCCATCCTGCTCTTTTATACATGAGAGGCATTCCGGGTACTTTCTTTCTTCTCACGTAAAAGGATCCAGTGTGGCAGTTACTTATAGCCTCCTCTTCCTTGCAAACAGTCACTATGGAATCTTGGGCCTTTAGAATTCCCTGTCAGCCATGCTTGGGTGCAAGGACCAGGCAAAATGAAGAGTTGAAGAATTTAGTGGAGAATGGGAAAGAGGCCCAGTGAGGGTACAAGAACAGAGAGATTTGGGTGGATTTTTTGGTTAATGTGAGAAACAATTACACACACTTATTTTGTATTAACAGAACAGATAATTCAGTATTTTTTACGTAGCTAGATAGTTCAGAAACTTCCATGACTTTTGTACACTAAAGAAAATAATCATAATATATTTTTTCCATTTTGTTTTATGTCATATTGCCTCATTATATCATTCATTAGTATGTCCATAGAATGTAGATTGCTTTTATTATTTTTATTTATTTATTTTTGAGACAGTGTTTCATGCTTGTCTCCCAGGTTGGAGTGCAGTGACATGATCTCGGCTCACTGGAACCTCTACCTCCTGAGTTCAAGGAATTCTCCTGCCTCAGCCTCCAAAGTAGCTGGGATGACAGGCACCCACCATCATGCTGTACTAATTTTTGCGTTTTTAGTAGAGATAGGGTTTCACTATGTTGACCAGGCTGGTCTCAAACTCCTAACCTCAGGTGATCTGCCCACCTCAGCCTCCCAGCGTGCTGGGATTATAGGCGTGAGCCATATTCCCGGCCTGTAGATTGTTTTTAAATGCCCTGGTTGTTCTGCATGTTTTTACCCTGTCATATTTTTAAGGAATACAATATTGTAAGACATACTGTATGTTTTTCTCATAATGGCTGTTTCTTTTGAGACATCATGAACTATTTTGGCCTGATAGGTTTTGTGGAGGAAATCAAAGAGGGATGTGTGAAAAAGGCACTGTGGTGAGTTGTGCTGTGTGCTCAAAGAAAGAAAGAGATGTCTGCAGTCAGCTCAAGTTGACCTGGATTGCCTTGGTTTTTGTTTTTCTAGTTAGTGCTTTTCTCACTAACTTCTTTTATAACTGTGTAAAATGAGTTAGGGCCGAGTTGCTGGTGATTTCTGTGTGGAATCAGCTGGTTTGGGGGAGGAAATCTATGGATATAATCATTTATCTTGGAGGTAAGCTTTTAGAGACACCTGAATTGATCTTTTTTTTTTTTTTTTCTTCTTGAGATGGAATCTCACTCTGTTGCCCAGGCTGGAGGTCAGTGGCACAATCTTGGCTGACTGCAATCTTCAACTTCGGGGTTCAAGCAATTCTCCTGCCTCAGACTCCTGAGTAGCTAGGTTTACAACTACACACTACCACACCCAGGTAATAATTGTAATTTTAGTAGAGGTGGGGTTTCACCAGGTTGGTGAGGCTGGTTTTGAACTCCTGACCTCAGGTGATCCGCCCACCTTGGCTTCTCAAAGTGCTGGATTATAGGCATGAGCTACCACGTCTGGCCCTGAGTTGATCTATTGAGGGACTTTTCTAGTATGTGTGAGAAGGTACGGAATGCCAAGAGCCCACAAGAGGATAAACTCAAGATGGGACCTCTGAAGATAAGTATTGCCTTTATATAGACCTATTTTCTCATCTCTTCCAATAATGCTTCTAGTACTATGAGATAGGAATTATTTCTGTGATCGTATGTGGGTGGCTGATGCTTATCTGAGAAAATATTCAGACAGGGCTGGCAGTGTAGAGTTAGGCTTAAGCTATACAAGGTTTTGAAGTTTTATTTTCCCCCTTTAAGCTTAGTTTCTTGCCTCAGATAGCCTGCTTTCATGCTTGTGTGTAATGTGAGACTAATACACACCAAGGATGTGCAAGCTAGACTAGTGTCTGTTTTCTCTATGTTCCAGTGGAAATCAAGGAAATCTATAGCTACTACAGACTATACTGGTGGTATAAGGTGGGAGGAGTATAGTAAGATTATTTCTGATGGCAATAAAATGTTTACTTATTAAAATATTCAGTTCTAACATTCAATTCTAGTTAGGCAAATGCTTATCATAGGTTGACCTTTCTTGGTCCCCAGCCTCTATAATGATACTCTGTCCATAGTTCCAGCCACTTAACAATCGCCTTCAGTCTTAATATCATCTTAACCTCTAAATCTTAAATGTAGGATAAAGACCCTGAAGAGCTTTAGCACAACACTCTGGAACTTAGCTGTAAGTTTTACCATAACCTGAAGCCTCAATATTATAGTTAGGACTTTGTCTTGTTTCAGAAACCTACTCCCTGCATTTTGCACCCGTCAGTATGACTTGCACTTGGTGTAACGTAACCAGTCCTTCTACCCATCAGGCCCTTCCTACTCTATCCATAGTCTCTTTCTGATTTTATTGAAGACTGGAATCCCTCAATCTCCGATATGGTATCTGGGGCCCTAGCAGATACTGGTAGACTTGTCAGTATCCACTGCTTAGCTGTTTGGTGCTCTAAGTATGCCTTGCTCCTGTGATTTCCTCTGGAAATCCACCCCAGAGTACTGTACACTTGTGAAGGCATTCTTCTTCCTCATGTTGGACTCAGTCTCATCTAAAGACCTACTCTTTGTCAGTTCCCATGGTTTGTAGAAACCCTATTCTGCCTAGGTCTGGGTTTTGTTATGTCAACTGTAACTGAGTTTGTTCTCACCCCAGTGTTGTGTCTTTTAGCAATCTGAAAGTGTAAGCCCAATATAGCTTTTCTGGTTTCTGAAAAACTTAGGTCATATTTTCTATCTTGTCAGGTCTATAGACATTTGTACCATATGTAGAATTGGGCCACTATGCACTTATTGGATTTTTTCATAAATTCCAAAAGACTATTGTATTATTTGTATATTTAATTTTTTGGAGCTGGAGTCTTGGTGTGTTGCCCAGGCTGGAGTGCAATGGTACGATCGTGGCTCACTAGAACCTCCACCTCCTGCGTTCAAGGGATTCTCCTGTCTCAGCCCCCATGTAGCCTGGACTACCGGTGTGAGCCACCACGTCTGCCTAATTTTTGGGCTAATTTTTGTATTTTTAGTAGAGACATGTTTTTACCATGTTGGCAAGGCTGGTCTCAAACTCCTGACCTCAAGTGATCCACTTGCTTCGGCCTTCCAAAGTGCTGGGATTACTGCCATGAGTCACTGCGCCCTGCCAGAATCTTTTATAATTGAATGGCAAATTTGAATGTGGACTGGGTGCAGTGGCTCACGCCTGTAATCCCAGAACTTTGGGAGGACAAAGCAGGCAGATCACTTGAGGTCAGGGGTTCAAGACCAGCCTGGCCAACTTGGTGAAACCCCACCTCTACTAAAATTACAACAATTAGCCGGGCATGGTGGTGCATGCCTCTAGTCCCAGCTACTCAAGAAACTGAGGCAGGAGAATCATTTGAACCCAGGAGGCAGAGGTTGCAGTGAGCTGATCATGCTACTGCTTTCCAGCCTGTGTGACAGAGCGAGATATCATTTCAACAACAACAACAACAACAACAAAATAATTGAATGTTCCTAATTGTATGTTTGCTATGTTCGGCTAACATGTCTTTTTCTTTTTCCAGTTAAAAATTTATTAATATTGACACATTTCTAATGATGTGGAAATTTTCAGAATTGTGAAGGTTTATGTATTTAAAACTGGTTGTAATATTACTGTCTCAAAAGTGTTAATAAAGCTAATGGTCTACCTGTGTTAATGTTCATTTATTCAATAACTCTGACCTTTCTGATCCTTGGTTTACCCAACTCTAAAATGGTTGCAAAGATTACTAAAAATATATGTAAGATACTTCCATAAATTAGAAACTAAAAAGTAAAAGTTAGTTTTAAAAATCTGCAATCCTAATTACTTACACTTTAATCTGGAATTTAGTATTCTGTTCTGTTTTCAGAGCTGCTATAGGGCATGCTGTTCTTTGCCGTTCCACTTGTAGCAGAATTCAATGTTTTCTGACAGGTACAGATCTTTATGCTTGAGACTGTGTGGAAACCTTGGACTTGAGCTCCACTCTCGGTTATTTTTGGTGTTTTCTAATACCTAACTACATTCTGTCCACTTCTAGCATGATACCTGGTATGTGATAGAACCCAGTAAAAGTTTGGTTGTGATGGGAGTGGATGTTTATGCATTATTTTTGGAGGATAATTAGGTAATATCTTTCAAAATTTTAAGTTTGTATGCTTTTTATTCTAGACATTCTACTTCTAGGAATTTAGATATAGCTGTGTATGTGTATGTGTATGTTCACATTGCAGCATTGTCTGTAACAAGATTTCAAAAGAACCTGAAAGCAACAAAGGTTCATTAACATTGAACTGGCTGAATACATTATGGTACTTTTAATTATGTTACTGATAATCAATAAATTCCCCTGGCCACTAAAAATAGAATGTAAGTATGTATAAATTGACTGGGAAAATCAGTGTTCGAGATAAATTGTAGAATATGTTTAGTTACTCCTTTTGTATAAAAATAGAGGACATACATATGTGTGAAAGTAAATATTTATACACGATATGCAAAATGTGAATGTAAGCACTTGTAAATATCTAGAACACACAAAGAAGGTGGGGAGGTGGTGCTCGGGGGAGTTACGGGGCGGGGACAGACGGACTTTCCTGTGCCACACTGTTTGAATTCTGAGGGGTGCATGCACACCCTCATTGACCTGTGCTACCAGCCTTTGGCTAAAGAGGGCGCTGTAGCCACCAAAGTCTTGTTTACAAATCAAGCGTCTCAGTAAGCCTGCGTGGTTAGGCCCTCACGACCGACATGCGCCATAGCGAGACGCCGGAGCTCTGCGTGGGTGGCTTCCGAGTCTCTTTAGGACTAGAGTCCTATCCTGGCACTGAGGGTGCCGGATTGTCGCTTTTGGCCGGCTTGGCATTGGGTGGGCGGCTTTTGGGACCCACATGAACCAATGGCATCATCCCGCCAGTGGCTGGGGTCGGGGACGCGACTTTCCTGGGCGCTCCTCGGCCAGGAAGAAGGGCGGAAACCACGTCCCAGAAAGGTAATATGTCTTGGGCCCTTGGCATGGCCTTTCCAGCTCATGGCTTCTGGGCGTGGGCTTCATCTTTTGTGGTCTCTGCGTCTCACTTTTGCTGTCACTAGCTTGGCTTGTCCGCCCCTTGCTTTGAGGCTTTGACCCTCTTCGCCACCCGCTTTAGCTAAAAGGGGCAATGTCTGTGATGTCCTGTGATTTCTCCTTGTTGTAAAAGTGAGGTTCTGGCCAGTGCTCTTATGTAAAATACGGAAGGATTGCTTTAAGGCGGGACTGTTACTTTTGGGGACACTCCTTAATTCCCAAAATAGAACCTCCTCAATTCCTTGTTACTTGGCACGGGAAGCGTAATGATTTGAGTCAGGAACCCAGCATTAGTAGCACCCTGTGATCTCACATGGAAAATTGGTTTGTATTGTTTTCAGAAATCACAAAGAGCATACGCTGTTAGCTCCTAACAGGCCTCATTTGAGAGATATGTTCCTTTATACGTACAAATGATTGATTTTGAGATTGCACGCATGTGCAGATAACTGCTTTTACTCCTTGAAACCATCCTCCCCCATCTCATACCTCAGTAACTCCTCTTCATTTTGTCTCCTACCCTTTGACTGTCAGCTTCTGTCAGCATTCTAATACAGGTCTTGCTAACCTACTGCAGTTTGGTTCTAATTAGTGTATCTCTTGTTAATTTCCATCCAACCATTGTTTTTTTGTTTTTTGTTTTGTTTTGTTTTTTTGAGACGGAGTTTCACTCTTGTCCCTCAGGCTTGAGGTCATTGGCTGGATCTTGGCTCACCACAACTTCTGCCTCCCGGGATCAAGTGGCTCTTCTGCCTCAGCCTCTCAAGTTGATGGGATTACAGGCCCCTGCCACCACTCCCATCTAATTTTTTTGTATTTTTAGTAGAGACGGAGTTTCAGGCTGGTCATCAGGCCGGTCTTGAACTCCTGACCTCAGGTGATCCACCCTCCTCGGCCTTCCAAAGTGCTGAGATTACAGGTGTGAGCTGGTGCCCCTGGCCCAATCCGTTGTTCACGACAACAAAAATCTTTTTTTTTTGAGACAGGGTCTTGCTGTGTCACCCAAGCTAGAGTGCAGTGGCACAATCATAGCTCAATGCAAGTCAGCTTCTCAGGCTCATTCAGTCCTCCCACCTCAGCACTCCTGGTAGCTGAGACTACAGGTGTGCACTGCCATGCCCAGCTAATTTTGTATTTTTTTTTTTTAATAGAGATGGGGTTTCACCATGTTGCCTAGGCAGTTCTTGAACTCCTGGTGTCAAGCGATTCACCTGCCTCAGCCTCCCAACATTCGGGGACTGCAGGCATGAGCGACTGTGCCTGGCCAAGAGATCTTTTTAACAGGTGATTGCTAAAAATTGAAATTGAATTGGAATTGGAATATTGCTCATGAGCATTGCTCTTAACATTGTTTCAAGACTAAAAAAGAGCCAGCCATGGTAGCTCATGCCTGCAATCCCCACACTTTGGGAGGCTGAAGTGGGTTTGATCACTTGAGGTCAGGAGTTCGAGACCAGCTTGGCCAATATGGAGAAACCCTGCCTCTACTAAAAATAAAAAAATTAGCTGAGCGTGGTGTCGGACCCCTGTAATCCTAGCTACTTGGGATGCTGAGGCACAAGAATGGCTTAAACTGGAGGTTGCAGTGGGCCAAGATCATGCCACTGCACTCCAGCCTGGGTGACAGAAGGAGACTATCTAAAAAAAAAAATTTTTTTTAAGAGTAAAAGTGAACTTTTTGTCTATAATACAAGTTTGTGCATGATCTGGGATCCCATCTCCTTCTCCAGCCCCATTTCTTGCCACTCTTGCTTATCCTCACTTTCTATGCATCATATGTACAGAATTAACCCTAGTTAATTCTTTTTTTTTTTTTTTTGAGATGGAATTCTGCCCTTGTTACCCCTGTTAGAGTGCAAGAAATTGCAAAGGATCTGAACAGATAATAAAACTATTTCTCTTGGAAAATGGGGAAAATCTCAGTGTGGTTAAAGTGGTACGTTAGTATGAGTTCTCCAGAATGATAGAACAAGTAGGATGGATGCATGGATGGATGGATGGATGGATGGGCCATTGGGTGAGTAGGTGGGTGGGTGGGTGGCAGGACTTTTTTATTATGGGAATTAGCTTATGCACTTAGAAAGGCTGAGAAGTTTCATAGTAGGCTGTCTATAAGCTGGAGAACCAGGGAATCTGGTAGTGTTCAGTCCAAGTCAGAAAGCCTCAGAATCAGGGAAGCTGGTGGAGTAACTCTAAATCCAAGGCTGAAGGCCTGGAAATCCGGTAAGGTTTGGAGAACACTGGTGGGAGTCCTCAAGTCCAAAGGCCAGGAAGCCTGGAGTTCTGATGTCCAATAGTAGGAGAAGGTAGGGTATTCCAGCTCCAGGAGAGAGCACAATTTGCCTTTCCTCTGCCTTTTGTTCTGTTCAGGCCCCCGGCCTATTGGATGGTACCTACCCATGTTGAGGATGTATCCTCCCACTCAGTCCACCCACTCACACACCAGTATCCTCTGGAAACACCCTCACAGACACTCCCAGAAATAGTACTTCACCAGCTATCTAGGTATCTCTTAATCCAGTCAAGTTGACACCTAAAATTAACCATCACAAATAGCAAGGTATTATTCTTTGCCTCTTAATTTAGCAATAGGTTTTCTTTGTTTATTTTTGTTTTTGGAGACAGAGTCTTGGTCTGTTGCCCAGGTTGGAGTGCAGTGGCACAATCTTGGGTCACTGCAACTGCCACTTCCCAGGTTCAAGCAATTCTCCTGCCTCAGCCTTGTGAGCAGCTGAGATTACAGGTACCTGCCATCACACTGGCTAATTTTTGTATTTTAGTAGAGATGGGGGTTTCACCATGTTGGCTAGGCTAGTCTTCCAACTCCTGACCTCAGGTGATCTATCTGCCTCGGCCTCCCAACGTGCTGGGATTACAGACATGAGCCACCACCCCTGGCCAGTTTAGCAATAGTTTTTGATAGGCACTCTAGTGTAGTGGTTGTCAGGCTGGACCTGGTTTTGCATCTGGGCTCTGTTACCTGCTTTGTGATCTTGGGTAAGATACTTAGCCTGTCTACATCTCCATTTTTCCATCAGTCAGATGGAGATTTTAATAATACCCCATAGTGGTTATTGTTGACAGTTAACATGGATTTAAACAGTTAAGTACATTGTAAACACTTTCAAAACTGCGTTGGCATTTTTAGGCCATGTGTGTTGGCTCAGCACTTAGGGAGGCCGAGGTGGGAGGATTGCTTGAGCCCAGCAGTTGGAGACCAGCCTGGGCAACATGTTGGAACCCTGTTTGTTTGTTTGTTTTCTTTTTTGAGTCAGATTTTCACTCTTTTTGCCCAATCTAGAATGCAATGGTGCAGCCTAGGCTTACCGCAACCTCCGCCTCCTGGGTTCAAAGGATTCTCCTGCCTCAGCGTCCTGAGTAGCTGGGATTACAGGCATGCACTACCCACTACATCCAGCTAATTTTGTATTTTTAGTAGAGATGGGGTTTCTCCATGTTTGTCAGGGTGGTTTCGAACTCCTGACCTCGGGTAATCTGCCCACCTCAGCCTCTCAAAGTGCTGGGATTTACAGGCACAAGCCATCATTCTTGGCCTGGAACTCTGTTTTTATTAAGAAAGAAAAAAGCACTTTTAAAAATTTCCTTTTTTTTTAAGGTGTTTTGTTTTTGTTTTTTTGAGACAAGAGTCTTGCTCAGCCTCCGAGGCTGGAGTGCAAAATTGCATTCTTGGCTCACTGCAACTTCCGCCTCTCAGGTTCAAGAGATTCTTCAGCCTTAGTCTCCCAAGTAGTTGGGATTATAGGCTTGCACCACCAGGTCCAGCTAATTTTTTTTTTTTTTTTGTATTTTTACTAGAGACAGGGTTTCACCATGTAGGCCAGGCTGGTCTCAAACTCCTGACCTCAAGTGATCTGCCTGCCTCAGCCTCCCAAAGTGCTGGGATTACAGGCATGAGCCATCGTACCCAGCCTAAAACTTGACCTTTTTAAAAGATGTAAACAAACATTTTAAAAACATGTTGCTAGTGGCATTGAAAATTGGTTTAAGCCTTTTGAAGCACAATTTCAAGAGCCATAAAAATGCTTTACCTAGTAATTTCATTTTGAGACTAAGGAAATACTTCAAAATGCAGAAAAAGCTATATTTACTTAATCATTCAGCACATTTTTCAAGCTCGCTACCATGTGTAGGACCCTGGGCTAGCTCACGATCCCGTAGTATATGTTTTGCAATGTTAATCCCAGCATCATTTGTGGTTGTGGAAAAACTTGTAGCTGCTGTATTTCCAACAGTGGAGAATGTAGCTAAATAATTATTATATCCATACTATAGCATTTTATAAAGCCATTGAAAGTGGTAGCTTATTTATGATAAGTGAAAATAATAGGCTGTGATTCAACAGTCAGAAAAAGATACTGGGGAAAAGAACGAAAGGAAATACTAATTAATTGAATTACAGTGAGTGGGATTGAGGGCTCTGCAGCAGGGGGTTATTTTTTCTTTTCTCGGATTTCCAAATTTTCTTTTGTATAAACAAGTAAATTTGAATCCTGTTTTTTCAGATTTGTTGCATGTACCATGGTTAAAGTTGTTCTATACTTTATAATTTATGTACATTTGTTTATAAAGTGGAAGCAGCTGTTTTCAGAACTAAATAGCTTATTGTGTCTTATGTCAATCCTACCAGACTTTGGGGGAGAGAAAGTATTTAATTAGAATAGTATGGGCACGCATTCCATGCATTTATCACTGTAGGGAAAGGTGGAAAGGCTTCTGGGAATCCACTCTGTGCCAGGGCATTGTGGGTAATTGAAATGTATTTTCTTAATTTAGCTTCATAACAGCCCATGAAGGTGGAAAGTGTTATTAGCCCCATGTGTGACCTTAGCAGATAAACTACTCAACTTTTATTTCCCTGAGTTCTTTATAGGGAAAAGAACTTAGAGAAATAAAAGTTAAGTAGTTTATCTGCTGTGGTCATGCAGGTAGGAAACAGTAGAATGTATATAATTTTGTAAATTTATGAATTTAAAATATGAAAATACAAATTTAAAATAAAAATTATTTCGTTAATCCTAGTAATGGCTTATTACTTCTTGTTTTGCTTTAAGAACGTTTTCACGGAATCCAAATGTTTACCAGAGGGGCCATTTCCCTCCTCCTAGTACCCCTGGAGAAGGTTATTCACACAGGAGGTACACTTGGAATGTGAAGCCAAATGCCAGTCGAGCAGCCCAGGAGAGAAGAAGATGGTGTCCTGACAATGCCTAATTACTCCGAACTATCCTATCCAGCCTATTGGGAATGGACCCGGTGATACAAACCTGTCTTGGAATTGCACCTGGAGACCCGAGCTGGCCTGAAGATTACTGGTATGACTTTTAATTAGATCAGGTCTAATGAGGTTTCTTTATTGTTCCCTTATGTGTTCAAGCTTGAGGAAAAATTAAATTGCTATTTACCTCTGCTGATAAATTTGCGGTAAAAATACAGTATTGCAGGAAAAAAGTCTGTTATTTCAGTCTTATATATTTCTAAAGGATGACCATATTTTAGAACTGAAACATTAAGAATTTCCCTTGCAAATTATTTTTTAAAATTCTATCTTGTTTTTCTGTGTATTTCTTTCTGACTAGAATTGCGATGTGTGTGTGTTTATATACAGAAATTTTTATTGTTTTTATTATGTTCTGTTATTGACCCAAGTGATATCTTTATTTTCTGTAACTGTTCAAAATTTCTATTAAAATTGACGTATGAGATAATTCCTTTAGAACCGGGTCACTATCTGTAATTAATAGTATGTTTTCTTTGTTTTGTTTTGAGGTGGAATCTCACTCTGTCTCCCAGGCTGGAGAGTATTGCCAATTGAGCAAGAGAGACTGACTGATAAACCAGATTGCTGATTTATTAAATTATAGTGAGTAATTTATCTGGCAGTGTCATTGTCATCAGCTGCGTAGAACTATCTGGAAAACTTGAAAACTTTTATAGATTGTAAAGGTTACTTGATGAACAGAGTAGAATTATGTCGATTTAAAGCCTGAGGATATCTGGCAAGAGTACTGTGTTATCATTGCTCCACTGTTGAATATAACCTCCTGGGATCTTTCTCCAGTTGCCTCTTACAGTGAAGTTGTGGTTTATTCCCTTCCCCCCACCACCCCTTGCCCCAAGACAGAGTCTTGCTCTGTCACCCAGGCTGAAGTGTAGTGGTGCCATCTAAGCTCACTGCAAGCTCTGTCTCCTGGGCTCAAGTGATCCTCCCACTTCAGCCTCCCTAGTAGCTGGGGGCTACAGGTGTGGATGGACTACCATGCCTGGCTAATTTTTTCTACAGACCAGGTTTTGCCATGTTGCCCTTAGCTCAAGCAAATCCACTCACCTCAGCCTCCCAAAGTGTTAGGATTACAGGCATGAGCCACTGTGCCTGGCCTACCTTTGCTTTTTCTGAGTTGTCTCTTCTGCTGCTATACCTGTGGAATACACAGACAGATCATTTGGGAGGGTAATTATTTTTACTTGCAGAGCAAGCTAGAAACCTTTGCTGGCTCAAAGAAGTGTTTCATTATCATAACACATAGTAAGCCTTAGTAAATACTTGATGACTACTTGCACAACTTGGCTTCATTTCAGTTTTTTCAATTTTTATTTTTATTTATTTATTTTTAAATTTTTGGTAGAGATAAGGTCTCACTTTGTTGCCCTGGCTGGTCTTGAACTCCGGAGCTCAAGCGATCCTCCTGCCTTGGCCTCCCAAGAGCTGGGATTACAGGCATAAGCACTATGCCTGACCATTGGCTTCATTTTTTTAAATACCTGATTTTGAGGATTTGTGTCATTGAATGTCTGATGTTGTACATGTTATTTTCTTCTTTCTCATCTGTGAACAATGTCTGGACCCTGATCTTAAGGAGATACTGTAGCTCAGCTGTTCTTGTCTGTAACTGATTAGCTCAGTCAGGCTGCTGTAGTAAGAACCCCAAAAGTTAGGTTCACATACCTGATGTACAGTAAGCCAAACAATGACATTAATGCTTAGGAAGGCTTATTCAATTTGGCCAAAGTATGAGGGTGGGAGAGTCGAAGTCTCAAATCTGACTTTCCTTTTCATGTAATTGGAGGCTTTCCTTGATGATCAAAGCTGTTTGTGTCTCTCAGCCAGTGAAACTTGTGGATGCCATCAAGGATGTCAGCATGACCTAAGGATCAGTTTTCTTTAAAAAAAAAAAAAAAAGTACATTAATCTTGTTGGCAGCTTCTGAGGATTAGGATATGAAGTTAATCACTTGTTAGTGACTACCCTCTACCAAAATGACTACGTGCAAGCAATCCTGCCTGGAGAAAGTTAACGATAAAGAGAAAGAAAAATAAATGTAATAAATACCTGACAATACGCTGTGTTATAGTATCCCCACTGACATTGTTCCATTCCTCAGTCTTGAGTTGAGGTGTTGACTCAGTCTAACTACTTCCTGATGGCAAGGGGCATTCCTAGTGGGCCGAGGAATGGAACTTATTTACCTGCAGTTGAAAATATTCACGTCTCAGGACCTGGGCAGTTTTGTCGTTAACATAATTGAACAGGGTGTCAGGAGCTTCAGAGAGGCAATCTTGCAATTCCATATATATAGTGCAGCAGCAGTATAATCTACAACCAAGGAGTATTCCTGTTTCTATAGTCATAGCTAGAATTACCAGTAATTATTTCCACCAAGAGGGTCGTCATGACCAGACCCATGAGGATAATCACTGGTTTAGTGACATCATAAAGTTGGACATAGCATCAGTTTGTACATATTTGAAAGGTTGAATTATTTTTCTTTGAGTATATACCCAGTAGTGGGATTGTTGGGTTGAATACTGGTTCTTTTTCACTTCTTTGAGAAATCCCCCAATTGCTTTATACAGTGGCTGAACCAGTTTGCGTTCCTACCAGCAGTGTATAAGCACTCCCTTTTCTCTGAAGCCTTGACGGCATCTGTTATTTTTTGATTTTTTAATAATCAGAATTCTGACTGGTGTGAGATGTTATCTCTTTGTGGTTTTGATTTGCATTTCTCTGATGAATAGTGATGTTGAGCATTTTTTCATGTTTGTCAGCTGCTTTGACATCTTCTGTTGAGAAGTGTCTTTTCCTGTCCTTTGCTCCCCCCACCTTTTTAAATTTTTTTGAGAAAGGGTCTCACTCTGCCACCCAGATGGGAGTGCGGTAGCATGATCTTGGCTCACTGCAACCTCCGCCTCCCAGGTTCAAGCCATTCTCATGCCTCAGCCTACTGAGTAGCTGGGATTACAGGCAACACACTACCCAGCCAATTTTTGTATTTTTAGTAGAGATGAGGTTTCAACATATTGGCCAGGCTGGTCTTGAACTCCTGACCTCAAATTATCTTCCCACCTTGGCCTCCCAAAGTGCTGAAATTACATGGGTGAGCCACTGTGCCCAGCCCCTTTGCCCATTTTTACAAATGGAGTTATTTGATTTTTGCTTTTTAAATTTTTACATTTCCTTACAGATTCTGGAGATTAGACCTTTGTTGGAAGTGTAATTTCCTAATCTTTTCTCCCATTTTATGAGTTGTCTCTTTATTGATAATTTATTTTACTGTGCAGAAGCTCTTTAGTTTAATTAGGTACCAATCGTCAATTTTTTGTTACAATTGCTGTTCGAAACTTGGCCATAAATTATTTTCCAAAGCCAATATCGAGAAGAGTATTTCCTAGGTTTTCTCCTAGGATTTTTATAGTTTGAGGTCCTCCATTTAAATCTCTAATCTGTCTTGGTTTTTTTAGATATAGTGAGAGGTGGGGGTCCAGTTTCTTCTTCATATGGCTAGCCAGTTATCTCAGCACCATGTCTTGAATACAGAGTTGTTTTCTCATTGCTTATTTTTGCCAATTTTTCAAAGGTCAGATGGTTTTAGGTGTGCAGGTTTATTTCTGAGCTCTCTATTCTCTTCCATTGGTCTATTTGTCTGTTTTTGTACCAGTATCATGTTGGTTACGGTAGCCTTATAGTATAGTTTGAAGTTGGGTAATGTGATGCCTTTGGTTTTGTTCTTTTTGCCTAGCATTGCTTTTACTATTTGGGCTCTTGTTTGGTTCCAAATGAAATTTAGAATACATTTTTCTAATTCTGTGAAAAATGATACTGCTATTTTGATAGGGATAGCACTGAATCTGTAAATTGCTTTGGGAAGTACGGCCATTTTAAAAGTATTGAGTCTTCCCATCCGTAAGCATGGGAAATTTTTTCCCCTTTATTTGTCATCTGATTTCTCTCAGTAATGTTTTATAGTTCTCCTTGTAGAGATCTTTCACCTCCTTGATTAGATGAATTCCTAGGTATTTCACTTTTTTGTGGTTATTGTAAATGGGATTGTGTTCTTAATTTGGTTCTCAGCTAGAACATTAATGATGTAGGGAAATGCTACTGATTTTGTATCCTGAAACTTTACTGAATTTGTTCATCAGTTCCAGGAGCCTTTTGGTGGAGTCTTTAGGGTATTCTACGTAACTCGTGTCATCAGCAAAGAGAGATAGTTTGGCATCTTGTTTTCTTATTTGGATGCCTTTCAGTTCTTTCTCTTCCATAATTGCTCTGGCTCAGACTTCCAGTACCAGAAATGTTCAGAATGGGCATCCTTGTCTTGTTCCAGTTCTTAGGAGCAATGCTTTCAACTTTTGCCTATTTAGTATGATGTTGGCTTTATGTTTGTCATTTATAGAAAGCTCTTACCATTTTGAAGTGTGTTCCTTCAGTGCCTTGTCTGTTAAGGGTTTTTATCATGAAGGGGTATTATATTTCATGGAAGATGTTTTCTGCATCTATTGAGATGATCATATGCTCTTTAAAAATTCTGTTCGTATGGTGAATCACATTATTAATTTGCACATGTGGAATCAACCTTCTATCCCAGGAATAAACTATACTTGATGGTGGTGAAGAAACATTTTTGATGTGCTTCTGGATTCAGTTTGCTAGTATTCTGTTGAGAATTTTTGTATCTATGTTCATAAGCGATATTGGCCTGAAGTTTTCTTTCTTCATGTCTCTGCCAAATTTTGATATCAAGATGACGCTAGCTTTGTATAGAGAGCTAGGGAAAAGCTCTTTCTCCTTGATTTTTTAGAATTGTTTCAGTAGGATTGATATCAGTTCTTTGAATGTCTGGTATAATTCAGCTATGACTCCATCTCGTCTAGGGCTCTTTTTAGGTGGTAGGTTTGTTTGTTTGTTTGTTTTTTAATTACTGATTCCATTCCTGAGCTTGTTATTGGTCTGTTCAAGTTTTCACTTTCTTCCTGGTTCAATCTTGATAGATTGTGAGTTTCCAGAAATTTAATCATTTTCTCTAAATTTTCTTATATGTGTGCATGAAGGTGTTTGTTCATAATAGTCTTTGAGGATCTTTTGTATTTTTGTGGGATCTGTTATAATGTCTTCTGTCATTTCTGATTGTGCTTATTTGTATCTTCTACTTTTTTTCTTTGCTAATCTAGCTACTGATCTATCAATCTTGTTCTTTCAAAAAAGCAACTCTTCATTTATCTTTTGATATGGACTTTTGGATCTTGATTTCATTCAGTTCATCTCTGCTTTTGGTTATTTCTTTTCTTCTACTAGCTTTGAAGTTGAATTCTTATTTTTGTTTTTATCTAGTTCCTCTAGGTGCAATGTAAGATGGTTCATTTGAGATCTTTCTAACCTCTCAATGAGGCCAGTTATAAACTTTTCTCTTAACACCACTTTAGCTTTAGCCCAAGGGTTTTGGTAATTTGTGTCTCTATTTTCTTTAATTTCAAATAATTTTTAAATTTCTGCCTTAATTTCATTGCTTACCCAAGAGTGATTAAGAAGCAAGTGGTTTAATTTCCATGTATTTTGTTATTTTGAGAGATGACTTTGGTATTGAATTCTATTTTTATTGCACTGTGGTCCAAGAGTATGCTTGATAGGTTTCTTTCTTTTCTTTTCTTTTTTTTTCCAAATTTATTGAGAGCTTTATGGGCAAGCATGTAGTCCATCTTATAATGTATTCTGTGTATGGATGAGAAATTGTATATTCTGTAGATGTTTATTAGCTCCAATTGGTCAAGTGTCCAGTTTAAGGCCA